ATTACTGTGGCAGTTTGAACAAAAAGTGATGATCTTCTTTTAGAAAAAACATTCGATTGCACTAGCAATTTTTTTACTTGCTGGTAGTTTGGTGTTATGTGCGATGATAATTAACTGACTGACTATTGGTGTGTATGCTCTTATCCGGCAGTTTCGTCATAGTGAGCAACATCAACTTAAGGAGGCCTTCAAATGTAGCAATTCTTTTCATTTCACGAATGTTAAACATTGAATTGCAATTCTAATATGCTATAGATATTATCACATTTGATGAAAACTATGATTCCTCTCATTAAATAATTTTGCTTTAATCGAATATATGCATGCACATGTCTTGTTATATTTGTTGTAATGCATTTGTTTATCTGCTACTTTTCAATTTTTTTCTGAATATATTCACTGGTAGTCTAAGTTATATGTAAAAGAGTAGCCTGCATAGTAAATTTGACCGACTAATGTTTTTTCATTTTTACATCGATTAGGTCATAAAGCTTTACTTTAGTATATCATTTTAGTTATCATTATCAGTTATATACTTAATTTATTGTCATTAAGATAGGACAATGACCAATTGTTGGACAAAATAGTAAATTAAAAAAGAAAGAGATAAGTCATCATATATATTTTTATACAATAAATACTAGATTTATTGGGATTTTTAAAAATATATCATCACTATTTCATAGAAACTGAAAATGCACTAAAATACCAACTTGTGGTTTTATCTTATGTTTCAAGTTATACGAAAAACAAAAGTATGGGTGTGATCCAAAGCTGCCAACTTCGATTCATGCTGGCCAATTCGTGTTCATCGACACCCTTTCATGTGAGATGTCAACTTTTATCAAATATAATATTCAATTCAATTATATTTTAGAAAAAATTCATTGTTAAATCTTTTTTTTTTGTGTAAGCGTCAATTTGTTTTGAAAATTAAATCATAATTAATTTTCATTCATTATCTAAAATTGAAAAATGCATTTTTTATTGTTTTTTTCCATCATTTGTGATGACGATGATTAATAAAACATTAGCAAAGAAAACTCTCATAGTCTTATTCCTTAATGATAGTTCTCAAGGTTGAGAAAATAATTTAACTTTAAACTATAGTAAATATAATTTATTAACGACATCAACTTATTCAGTATTATCATTTATTCTTATCTTGATATTAGATAATTGAAAGCATCAAAAAGTTTTAATAGAAAACAATTTATCTTGAGAATGACATTCAAATAAAAAGAAGAAAAGTTTTTGATTTAAAATTGAATAGATTTTAGCTAAAAAATAACTGTTTTTTTGAAAGATAATACCTCTATTCATATTCGCTCTACTTATACCTGTTTTCTCTTAGTAAGAAAATGAGAATATTTCTGTCATTAATATTTGATTAAGAATATCATCACTACTGAAATAAAATCTGGCAATGAATCAAGGGGGAAACAACTGACTCCGGGACTCCATGGGACTTCATGGGACTCCATGGGACTCCACGGGACTCCATACATAGGCGGAGTTCAAGAGCCCTTGCTATTATTTAAATCTACTGCTTTTCACGATTGATTACTAAAAACAAAGAAAAGAAATTATATAAGTGAAAATATGTGAACATTCGCGAAGATACGAAAATTATTCAATTAGTGTTTGCTCAAAAGAAGGGCTTTTATTACTATCAACATCTCATATATTTGCTTAAAAATCATGGGTAAAATGTAAAACAAATTAAGAAAAAAACAAATGTATAAACATAAAAATAATAAATTACGAAATAGACCAAGCATGTATGAATAGAATAAGTGAATTATTAAGTTAGAAAATATCAATTTGATATAGAATCTTACTAAATAAGAGAATATTAGAGAAGTAATTCGAAAAGAACAAACAATATAATGTTTCACACGTAAATCTTATGTTCTTGTTCTTTTTGTTGATTCTCTTTTGTTACATGAAGATTCTATTGCTTGAACTTTTCTTTTTACTTGTCGTTTAGTTGCTAATGACGATTATGTTATAGTAGTTCCATCATCATCTATTGATAAAGAGATAGAAGATGGCATAGATAAAGTAGAATTTGATTGAATGGTGATTGGTGGTGATATATTCGGTACGCGATTTGGTGATGATATTTGCGGGTGTGGGTGTGGGTGTGGATGTGGATGTGGGTGTCGGTGTTGGTGGATATGGTTGTAGTTAAAAAGATCCAACCTACACATCCACACCCACACCCACACCCACACCCACCCACACCCAATTTATATCGATTAACCATTTACATGATATTATCAATAGTGACATTTATACTAAACTTGATCATGGATTAACAAAATCTGACATTAATCCTAAGGATCGTCAAAACTTTAGTTCCTGTTTAAAATTAACATCTACTGATCTATTCAAAATTTTAAATGATAATGTTAATACTCGAGGAACATTAATTTATCTTCAGATGTTAAAAATGATTGTAGTGGCCTACGTTGAGAAAAAAACAACTATTGCTGAACGTAAGTATATGCATTTATCATATCTGTTGTCTGAGAGCGAGAAACTCTTCAATCAAGAAACACCACATATAACAAGATTTTATTTTAGGACTTCGATCTGCTTGGTGTGTCGTGTTTTTTTGTAGAATATGATTTACATGGATTAGATTTAACACATTCAATTCAACGCAATCTACAGAAAACAAAAGCAGATATTTTATTACCAGACCAGCATACTTATCGGCTGAAATAAACGCACACAATTTATTATATTTAGTTTTACTTGTCAAACAAAAACAACTACCACCACATGTACTGTGTATTCATGCTTTTAGTTCACAAGCCTGTGAATCAATTTTTAGAAACACGCGAGCAATGAGTGGAATCTATTCCACTATAGTTAATTTTACAGTATATGATTTTTTACGACGTGCCCAAAGACTTTCATTATTGAATGATATTAAATGTAAGCAATCGAATGATGAATCAGTTAATAATTTGGCCTTTCCAGTTCATCACAAACATCAAAATGATCGACAATCATCATGTACAGAAAGTCAAAATGAGATTGATCAAATAGATATTGAACAAATTATTACCAAGGCGTACCATGAAGCTATTGATATGCTCGATGGCTTAGAAATATTGAATGTGCTGAAAAACAAACGTGTTCTCGATTTAAAATTATTAAGTGAATATGTATTTAAACAATTAAATTCTAATTCAAAGATGTATGACTATTCATCTCAACGAAGTAATATGGATGATGGTGAATTTGAAATAGATGATGATGATGATGATAATGAAACAACAGATGATCTTAACATGGATGATGATAATAATGATAGTTTTTCCTCGAATGCTGATTACACTGATGAAGACGAACAAGAAGATACTGATAATTCAATAAATACCACAAAAAATGAGTTTGCTGGAATAAAGATCTGCAGTAAGGTTGAATCTGACACAGAACATTGTTATTTTAAAGTTACAATCAATGATGATACAAAATATTTACATAAACAAACTGCTTGTTGGTTATTAACTGAAGAAAAAAGTAAACTATCAAACGACCGGCTACTTCGAGTACAACAGGCTAATAAAAATAAATAAATGTTTTTTTTCTTGTTTAACACTTTGTTTGGTTTTATTATTAAATAAACGATATTCTGTTTAGTTTAAAGTTTTAGAATAAATGAATGTGCTGAATGCAGAGAAGAGATAGATGTTGTACGTTCATTTTCAAATCAAGACTAACAACTATATTATTTGATTTTACAATTGATAGGAAAATCAAGACACGTCAATATCAAACCTTTCCTATAATAGATTTCTCCAGATTTGACGAGAATTTCACGGGACTCCGAGGGACTCCAAAGGACTCCGATGGACTCCGAGGGACTCCGATGAACTTCAAAGGACTCCGATGGACTCCGATGACTCCAATGGACTCCAAGGGGCTGGAGTCAGTTGTTTCCCCCTTGCAATGAATACTAGAATAATTAACTTCCTTATTTCGAGTTCATTTGTTTTTCTTTTTATGAAAAACCTTATGACGTCAGAAAATAAGTTAGTTCTTGAAACAGACAGAAAGCATTACAAATAACACATTCAATATGTCTTCATTGACTGTTTCATTGAATATAGCGTAAAAACTGTTAGTTCGATATGGTCATACGACAATATTTTGTACTGGGTACAATTGGTTTATTAATAAATATAGTTCTTTTTCTAGGACGTCAATTACGATCAAATTCATGCTGTATTTGTAAGTTGTTTAATCATACAACAATAATTGATAATTTCCTGTTTTTCAATTAAAGATTTATTATCATCATTAATAAGCGCATTAATATTCCTTTCAATAGGCATTGTACCACAAATCTATACTGTTTATAATTTTGAAAATCTATTTACTACAATATCAAGTTTTTGTAGGGCACGAGCTTATTTAAATCAAACAAGTGCTATGTCATGTCGTTGGCTATTAGTAATGGCTTACATAGAACGTTGTTTTTCATGTTCAACTGGTGCTCGTATTCGAAAATTATCTTCTGTAAATATAGCTCAAAAAATGACTATTATTATAACTGAACGTTTTTCTACTTAAGGTCTCGCTCAGAAAATCCATTGTTTCGAATAATAGTTGAAGCTCGTTTTTGCCATAGGAAGGTGCGACGAAGTTTCCTCTCTCAGAATATATCTGAATTGTTGAAAGAAGGTCAAATTTTAACAGACTTTCAGAAGAGATTTTCACTCTATTACCCTGCTTTTGAGAGATTTTCGTGGTTTTTTAATTTTTGGGAAGACTGCCTTTTAACTCTTATCAGTATGGGATAAAGGGTGAGCGTGTGGGTATTGACGATCAAAGAACCCACACTCTACATCTGCACCCATACTCCAAATATAGAAAAGAATAAAAAACGATGTGCTTTTCTGTAAACCTATACAAGTGACAAATAAACATAAAACTATTTGAGATTGAGTCTTTTCCAACTTTCCATTGATTAAACGGTTTTGATTTTATCTTATTACGTCGAATATGCTAGTAGATAGAGCTCTACATAAATATAAACTCTGAATTGGTACATGTGAATATAAATGTGAACAAAACAAATAAGAGAGGAAACCTGCTTAGCTCACACTCTACCTTGTAGAAAAACAAATTTAGCTCTTT